TTTTTTTTAATTCCACTTTTATTTCTTTTCCTGTGATTTCTGAAGTTTTACATCATTATTTCTATAAATAATAGTCTGGAACTTTAGAAGTAAAAGCTATTGAGCTGAGACTGTAAAATTAAATGGAATATCAGAAAGGAGAGTTGGTCTATTTGTACCAAGCATTTTCAGTGAATGCTGATCACTGTTGCCTTTTCACCATATTTGTGTTGCTGTTGATCTTTTAGGAAATGGATATAGATGAAATTTTGCGCTTGGCAGAAACCAGAGAGAATGAAGTATCAACAAGTGCAACAGATGAGCTTCTCTCACAGTTTAAGGTATGAAAATCTTTGTGGAAGAGAGCCCTCAACATTAATTCATAAACTGATACTTACTGTCCATGAGTACTTTCTGCTTTTTCCTTTACCTGAATGGACACAGAGCCTCGTTATCACTCTCTGAGTTGTAAGTTGTAAGACTGTAGTCCTCCTCATGAAGGTAACCACTCAGTGGTCCATCCTGCCTAGAGTCAGTGTGTAGAGGAGAAGAAGTCAGTGAAGAGGACTGAGAATATTATTTCAGTGGAGTAAGTGGAGAACCACAGTAGTCTGGAGCTCCAGGAAGTGTGGAGGGATGTGTAGGAGACATTAATAGAATTATATGCCAAAGAGAGGTCAAAGGTAAGAGAACAGAAGATGACAATTAGGTGACTCTTGGTGACTTGGTGGAAACGACTTTATTTTATTTTATTTTTTTTAGGGAAATAGAGGGGTGGTCACTGGTGTCTGATGTGACAGAAAATTAAATGGGATCAGGGCAGAATCCAGAAGCTGGGAACCAAGTGACTTGAAAGTGGTAACAATGAGTATAGACAAGATTAAAAAGCTTAAAGAGTATAGGGAAGGTGATTTATGGGGATAGAAGGGTCAAGCACAACAAGGTTTTGAAAGTTATTACCGTGTTTCTAGGTTGAGGAAAGAACTTGAGTGTAGGGAGATATTTGGAAGGTTCTAAGGAAAGAAGGACAATTTGATGACACATTGTCCCAGAGAATATTGGAAGAAATACAATCCAAAGCATAGGTGGAAGAGTTGGCCTTTGAAAGAAGAAGGAAAGTACACAGAAGAGGAGGAGAGAGATGTGGGAGGTCCATTTACTTACCAGCAGAGTAATTGAGGTGTTTGCTGAGAAGTGGAAAAGGTTTGGGACAGCGATGGGTGAGGACGGAAGTCAGTTGAATTTAGATGAACTGGCTTTGAAGTGGAGCCAGTCAGCAGGGTCATATGGCTGTCTCCAGCAATACTTAATGTCAGAGAAATACGATCAGTTGGCAATCCCAAATTGGGAGATTAGTTTGGAGATATAGGAAAGCCAGAGGCAAGGGATTTCAAGATTGCAGTGAAAACATAATTGAAAGGATTGACCATGGGTTGGTTCATTGCAGGGCAGAGAAGCAGGACAGACCTGGAAGTTACAATGATGGTCAAGTGCAGTGAACCCATTAGGATTGAGGGAGAAACTGGTGAAGTGTTTGGAAGGAAGTAGTACTGTGTGATGAGGGCCAAGGCTGGCCACATCTGTCTAAATGGAAGGACAAGGAAGGAGTTCAGTGGGTCAGAGAGCTCTAGGACCAGTGTTAACGTGTCTGAGGATGAGAGGATGGGGTGGAGAAGGAGAAAAGTAAATTATTACTGCTTAACTGGATTCCACTTCTGTACCTACTGTTACCTTTTTAAACGTAATATTGTCTTGGTTAGGATATTATATGATTATTTAGGTAGAAAATTTTTAGGTATTATCGGTTAATCAAAAGTGGTCAGCACGTTACTGGTTATTCTTGCCTTTCTAAAGCCCTTTTGGCCATGATGTTTTAGCACCTGGTCAAGTGATTTAATTAACAGTAGGAGTGGAGTGCTTGAACTAAATCATCTGTATTTTTCCTTATAAGTCTATTTTTTTAATTCTAATTTAACACATTGGAAAGACAACATTTTTTTTCCTTTAATTAGGCTGATTTTCTTTTTTTTTTTAATTGTACTTTAGATGAAGGTTTATAGAACAAACTAGCTTCTCATTAAACGATTAGTACACATATTGTTTTGTGACATTGGTTACCAACCCCACGGCATGTCAACACTCTACCTTCTTGACCTTGGGTTCCCTATTACCAGCTTTCCTGTCCCCTCCTGCCTTCTAGTCCTTGTCCCTGGGCTGGTGTGCCCATTTAGTCTTGTTTTGTTTTATGGACCTGTCTGATCTTTGGCTGAAGGTTGAAACTCAGGAATGACTTTATTACTGAGCTAAAAGGGTGTCCGGGGGCCATACTCTCGGGGTTTCTCCAGTCTCTGTCAGGCCAGTAAGTCTGGTCTTTCTTTGTGAGTTAGAATTTTGTTCTACATTTTTTTCCAGCTCTGTCTAGGACCCTCTATTGTGATCCCTGTTGGAGCAGTCAGTGGTGGTAGCTGGGCACCATCTAGTTGTACTGGACTCAGTCTGGTGGAGGCTGTGGTAATTGTGGTCTTTTAGTCCTTTGGACTAATCTTTCTTTTGTAACTTTAGTTTTCTTCATTCTCCCTTGCTCCTGAAGGGGTGAGACCAGTGGAATATCTTAGATGGCTGCTCGCAGGCTTTTAAGACCCCAGGTGCTACTCACCAAAGTAGAATGTAGACCATTTTCTTTATAAACTGTGTTATTCCAGTTGAGCTAGATGTTTTCTGAGAACATGGTCCCCACAGCCCTTAGCCCAGTAATTCAGTCCCTCAGGGAGTTTGGATGTGTCTGTGGAGCTTCCATGACCTTGCCTTATACAAGTTGTGCTGGCTTCCCCAGTACTGTGTACTATCTTACCCTTCACCAATGTTACCTCTTATCTATTGTCTATTTAGTGTTTTTCCATCCCCACCCCTCCCTTCCCTCGTAGCCATCAAAGATTGTTTCTTTTTGTGTATAAACCTTTTCATGAGTTTTTATGGTAGCGGTCTCATATAATATTTGTCCTTTTGTGGTTGACTTATTTCACTCACATAAGGCCCTCCAGATTTATCCATGTTGTGAGATGCTTTGCAGATTCATCATTACAACAAACATTTTGAGATAATATAAGATTTTCTTAAGTAATAATAATAACCAATAATTACATAACTATTCCAAGTACTGTTTTCAGTGCTTTATATATAGTAACTCCTTTATTCCCACAGAACAACCCTATGATGTAGTAGATAATAGTATTTTCATCTACAGATGAAGAAACTGAGGTACAGAGAGGTTAAGTACATTTCCTAAGATCACACGTAAGTGGGGGAGCTGTGACTACATCCTAGGCAGATGATCTGGCCTCCGGAGTCTAGCACTTAACCACTACACTGCCTTTGGAAAAGTTAAATTTCCAGGTGTAGGTACCATCAGCATATTTGCATATTGATATCAGTTCTCATCTGGCTGTTTTAAAAGTCAAATCTAGGGTAATTACAAACAGTGCGTAATTGGAGAGATTGGTCAGATGATTCATTTTATAAAACAAAAATGTTAAATTTTCAAACTCAGAAATTATAACTATTTTGTCTTGAAACTTTAAAAATCCAGTTGTGAAGATCTCCTTAACTTTGTGGGAAGTTACCAAGTTGTGACTTGACTTCACTGTCAGCTCCAAATGACTGAGGAACGGAACCTCTAAAAGCTCTTTTGTCATTCATCATAGTCTTAAAGGCTAGGAGGGAAGGAAGAGAGAAGAACGTGGAGCTCAGGCCTGGAGCCTGCCCGCCACTTCCCAGAGGTTGTTCAGGGCTGGTTTATGTTTCTGTGTAGCCATAGTTTGGGTCTTTGAAGTGCATACATTTTGATGGGTTTCTTTTGGGAGACATTTTGTTTAAGTACAAATATATATCAGATATTAAATAATATTTGATATGACAGGATATTCTTCCAGTTTTTTGAGTTTTCTGCGTTTTGTGTTCTCATTTTTATTCCTAACACCAGATTACACTATTGAGCATATGGAATCATTACATACCTTTAACTTGAGTCTTACATACCTTTAACTTGAGTCTTTTGGTAAAAATGAATAAGGCAACAAGGTAGAAGATAGCAAGCGCTTTGAGTTATGCATTGTTTCAGATGAGCTCTATTCAATAGCAGTTTATAGTGCATAGACATGTTCATCATGGATTGGCATTAGGTATTCAGCATCTTAATAATCTAAACCTAAATTTCCCAGATAGTATCATTTTATCAGATAAGACCTTTGAGACAAATTATGTCCTTGTATCTGTTTCCCTGCTTTTCATAAAATTTCTGATAAACTTGAAGATTTGGCAAGTTGATTTTGGAGGTTACAGGAGGGATTAAGAGAAAATTAATTTATCTGCTTATGTTCTATCACAGGAGTCCTATTATTATTGAAAACATTTTAATATTCATACTTAGATAAAAAACACTAGATGGGTTGGTGGTGTTTTAAGAAATGGAGACATGTCAGTGAGAAAATGGGTTGTCCATTTGTTTTAAGGTTGCCAACTTTGCAACAATGGAAGATGAGGAAGAGCTGGAAGAGCGTCCTCACAAGGAGTGGGATGAGATAATTCCAGAAGAGCAAAGGAAGAAAGTAGAGGAGGAGGAGCGGCAGAAGGAGCTGGAAGAAATTTATATGCTGCCTCGAATTAGGAGTTCCACGAAAAAGGTGATCAAGTGAGATGAAAGATAAGAAAATACTTCTTATGCTGTCAGGGCTACAGGAGAATGCTAATTATTTAAGGAAGAGGGATCCAGGGCAGAGTTATTCCATAGGACACCTCGCAGAGGAGAATGGAAAAACGCACAGGGCTCCTGAGCACACCTGTGAGACATTTGGTCTTTGCAAACTGGCTCTTTGTGAAATGGCTGAACTGGTTCTGAGCTTGACACAAGTTTGTATTTTGCCTTTGAGATTAGAACCAGTAATCCTAGCAGTTTGTTTCTAATTGGCATTGCCATCTACTTTTAGAAAGTGAACCCTTTTTTTTTTCTTTGCGTGTTCATAGCACTGGTATAAATGCTTACTTACTAGAAGATTACATAACAGCTATAAATAAGGAACAAACACAGGCATCACATCTTACAGAACACCATTACACGCACTGATTTGATTTTTGCAACAACTTTGAAATAATAGAACACATTTTATTACCCAGTTTGCTGGAGATAACAGACTCAGATTTGTCCAAGATCATAGTAAATCAGTATTAGCTAATGCTAGCTATCATTTATGGAGCGTTTACTGTGTTCCAGGCATAATTCTACCTGATTTTACATTTACTGATTCATTTAATCCTTGTGAAAAACCCATGTTGTAGATAACTGTTATCCTCATTTTTCAAATGAGAAAGCAAAGGCATAAAGAGTTAAAGTAACTTACCCAAAGAAATTGAATCTAGAATCCAAATATTTTTATTCTAGCTCGCTTATCATTACATTATATCTTTGAAAATATGAATATCCCGAGCAGGTTTTCCTTCATTACATGACATCTACCCTTTTATTTGTTAAAGGAAAATTGACATGTTTGATAGGATAGGAAGTTCTGTGTACCGAAGATGAGCTGATCTTAGTCCCTCGGCCTCTTGGACCTGGCACTTGCTACAGTATGATTTTTCCTAATTCTTCTTCAGGCTCAGACAAATGACAGTGACTCTGATACTGAGTCTAAGAGGCAGGCCCAGAGATCCTCTGCCTCTGAAAGCGAGACGGATGACTCCGATGATGATAAGAAGCCAAAGCGCAGAGGCCGCCCCCGAAGCGTGCGGAAGGACCTTGTGGAGGGATTTACTGATGCAGAGATCCGAAGGTTG